CCTCGTTGCGTGACATCCCAAAAAACGGCTGCGGAGGAGACTAAGCAGTGTGCCCCTGTTAACGAAATGACAGCCGCTTCTTGGCGTTTTGGAAGTGTCTGTGAAGAGGATTTAGCAGTAAAGTTTTAAACGACTAGTAGATTTATACTAAAACAATTAGATTATTCGCTCTCGATTTCTATGCGTGATAGTTGACTATGGCTGCTGGAGGATTTATTTTGCTACCGGTCAAGCATCCTATTACAATCCAAGAACCTGGTTAGTCTAGCGTTCCGCTCCAAAATAACGCCTGCACAGCAGGCTATTTGTAGAATTGTAAACATTTCGGCTATCGGCCGAGTGATTCTGTTTAACTGCGATGAACCAACGACCTAATAAACTTACGATTCTGCTAGTTTGAGGGTAATACTAGAACACCAGAAGTTGAAAAATGCTTTCTTAGTTGGATGGTGTGATTTGTCTGCGTAATAAATGCGTCATTGCTTTTGCAGTCGTTTATGCACTGATTCAGATAATTTCGTTTCAAAATATTCAAAAAAGTTATAACTCTTGGAAGGTTGCGTCGGCCATATTTTGTATAGCTGCGTACTTATGATTATTTGTTGCGATGGGAGGGAGACATATTGCGATGTTAAAGCACAAGTGAAACAACAACAACACTGAACAACAACTTTATTTGTACTCACTCAGCTAAAAATTAAATGAACAAAAATGAGTTTGAAATAAAAAAGAGTACATGGCTGCCCGAGATGACCTTAATGGGCTAATAAGACGGGACAGCTATCCCCCGGGAGCCATCCTTGAAACTATGTCGTTGGGAAATAGGAGATTTTTTTTTTCTCGAAGTTATACCCGTTAATTTGCATTGCAGTGCAAATTAAGAATTAACGATAAATTGGCTTGCTCTCGACCAATGACAATGAAGACACGTAATCTTCCCAGTCACGTAATAAAGTGATAAATTTGCTAAGTCGGATTGTCTTCCATGATGATAATGAGCCTTCATCAGTGCCGAATTCGTTGTTCAACTTGTTCATGGTTCGAAAGCAGCATGCCTAAAATTGAAAAAAATGTATATGACTTCTATGAGGATGCGATGATTTAAGAAACAAAGTTAAAATGACTTTACAGTACTCCTTTACCTCCCCTCCCATCCCTCCCCCAGCCCGCAATCCCTGGCATGGCAACAAAGCATTGCGGGACAGCTTGTTATCATTTGACAGATGCTTTTCAGGAAAGTATATTTTCCAAAATGTCATTGGTTGAATTACTATACAACTATGTTTGCACTGTGCACAATTACAGGACGTACTCCTTTCAAGCTCTGTGGTCCTTTTCGGTCCTCTGTGGCCGGCGATATCACTTTTTTCAGCTGATGTTCATGTTACATGTAACTGCAAAACAGAACTGATTCGAAATCGTCTGTAATGCAGATCTTGATGTTTTTCTATGTTCTGCTTCACGTGAAATATGTCGAAAGTGAGCCGGATTACCCGCCTCTACCTCAGGGAAAGGCCTACACTTTGGACGACGACGATGATAAATGGAATTTAAACGGTCTTTCAAGCATTGCAAATGGTATAGCGCTAACATTACGGAGTCAGCCGCCATATGGTAAAGCTTTTATTCTTTTATTCTCTATATTACCATTAGTTTTCACCAAGCTAGCCCCGAGGTACGTCGCTGTATGGGATGAAATGTCCTTGAATGAGCTAAATCACCGTAGACAGACAGTGATGGGACAGATGAATACATATATATGTTTTTTTTCGCTAAGTGTGATTCTTGGCGATCGTCTGACCGTTAAAAAACCGACCACATAAAAAGGTTACCCCAGGATCGAGTAAACAAGTCTGTTTATAAACACTGTAAACTTGACTCGAAGCTACGATAAAATACAGTAAGCTTACGATCTGGAAAATATAAAGCGACATCTAACCTTAATGCTGCAACTCGGCTAACAGGTAAAATGAAAGGACACAAGTGAAACAGCGATCTCAGGAAAACAGAATTAGCTCAAAACAAATATAATGGACATTTTTACTGATGTCACGCTTTCCCAATTTCCTCTCATGAGAATCCGTTGCAAACTCGTTGAAATGTGTTACCCCAAACTTGTCAATTTTTAGAAAGAAATATGTGGTAAATTTATGTTTTTTAGGATTAGTTTAATGTGTTTGATGTAAAGTGCAATCGATCATTTTATGGAAAGTCAGGTTGTAAAAATTTTTTATATTAATTTTGTTAAATATTATTATAAATAAATATTGGCACGTTTGGGGTCCCACATTTTCAAAAGTTTACATTTTTTATGAAATTGTGCTTATTTACTAAATTTTAATGATAAATTGAACTCTGGAGGTGTTTTTTGTTGTTGTTGTTTATATGAAATATTCGGAAAATCGTTGATATTGTGTGACATCGTTAAAAGGGTGCATTAAAACAACTCACTTCACAGCCAAGAATGTTTTAAAATTGTACATAGTTTGAGACCACCTTGTGTGCATAGCTTAATGTACACACATGGAGGACAGTTGGAGTGATCCTGCTTCTGATTGGCCACATAGAATTTGTTTTAATTTTGTGGTAGCCAACTCAGATTTTTTGTTTAGTAGTGGAGATCTACCTACCAACCTGCCCTCCATGAGTCTGTCAGTTTAAATTTTATTTCTACTGCTGATAACAGCACAGTCTGATGACCGCTTAGTGTGTTAAACTGGTGTAACTGTCATCTTACAGTTTCTATTTTTAATTCATTTCATGTATTTGTATTGAACACTCCTGCAATCAGTTTCAAGTGTGAAACCATTTATACTTTGCTTTATTTAGTACATAACTCCTTGTTCATGTGGGTACTCCTAAGTCCAATGTTTTCAGGGTTTGGGCCAAAACCCTGCGTGCTGGGTAAAACTGTAAGCCTTAAAACGCACCTGCAGCAAATTTATTGTTGTTTGATAACTTTAAAGACTGTAGAAACTTTACCATATTGCCATTTTTTAGCTAGCATACTAATCTTGAGCTTATATTGGACTTAAAGAGCTTATGAAACCAAATAAGAAATAGGCCTAAATATAAGCTCTGTGGTATTGATCCAGGGATGGGGCCAAGTACTCTTCAGTTCATAATTATATACTTAACACTAAGTAGACTGGGAGGTGCACACAGTGGCCTCATGGTTAGTACGCTCGTCTCCATATCGAGCGGTCAGGGTTCGAATCCTGGCCAGCAACATTGCGTTGTGTTCAGATTGGGCAAGACACTTTACTCTCATAGTGCCTCTCTCCACCCAGGTGTATAAATGGGTACCGGCGAACTTAATGCTGGGGGTAACTCTGCAATGGATTAGCATCCCATCCAGGGAGAGTAGAAATACTCCTAGTTGCTTCATGCTACAGAAACCAGGATAAGCTCCAGCTTGATGGGCCACTCGGGCTTGTATCCAGACTTTAGCTACCTACCTCACCTAAGTAGACTAAATAAGATCATTTTCTTCAATTTTTGAAAGATCTTGTGAGCATTTTCTTAAGATGTCTGATAATTTATGAATCAAAATAGTCATTTGTGAACATTGTCTATTAAAGGTCCTTAGAACATTTTTGACGTTAATTCCGAAGTCTGGTAACAATGTCTTAGGGAGATCTCAAGATGTTGTCATTTACTCCATTCTAGCTGCTCACTATATCCAGGCGAAGAAGAAGGAAATATCTGATGCATACCTTAAGTTATTGTTAGACATTTTTGTATGGGTCAATATATTTTATACATAACTTTTCTCAGTAAAATGAAACTTAATGAAACACTGCTAACAGTTTATAACATAAAGTTCCATTCAAAACTGTTTGTATTTTCCTGTTCTTTGACAGAATTGATTGGAAATGCTTTGAGTAAGTCATTTGGTAAAGGAGGGAAGTCACCAAGCCTCTCTGAGGTACATGTATATTTTCACTTTTCAAAGGCACTTATTATTAAATATTTTTAATTAGATTTTTATCTCTTTTATATCTTTGTTTACTTAAGTGCAGTGACCTCTTGTGATGTTAAAGACAAGATTGCATAAGACAACAGGCAATGTGAAACTCTAGGCACATAAATTTTTTCAAGCATTTAGACAAAGTTATAACAAGTATTGTGGTCAGAAGGTGGTAAACTCAATGCCTGCCAAAGCAATTACTAGATAAATAAATTGAGTTATAAATTACTACGGTCAAACTCAAAAAAACAGTAAAAGATGTCTGGAATGTTTATTGTGGTTGTAAGGCCCATTGCATCCGAGATTGGTTTGTGAAAATAGTTTTTTCACTAAATAAACATTACCCAAAACCCTCTTCGCTAGTGTTTATTAATGAGCTGTAAAGAGCAATTATCTAATTTTTGTATAACCAATATGTAGGATTTATTTTGAGACCTTGTGGAACAAAACAAATCTGTTCTGTGACTGATGGAAACTCAGTTGTTTTCTGTGGTTTCTGTTGTTGAAGATCTTGCTTGTGATTGTTATAACACAATAACTATTCCAGACCTATTTTAGGTATTTATGGTTTTGTGAGTTTGACTGTAAACTAAATCCTAGAGAAAAACTAGTCAGGAGACTGAAAAGAAACCACAATCTTAAAGCAAGATGCCATTCAGCCTCCCCATAACGAACTACCCACACTAAGATGAATATACAGAAAAATAAGGACAACCCTATGAGGTACATAATTTGTATTAATTATGCAAATTTCCAGGAATTTCTGCTCTATTTGATTTTCCTCCCAAAATTGCTGGAATTTGTGGTTGTCTGAACGGTTTGCATTCCAGAAAATATACATGTATAATATAACATGTATAATATACAATGATATGTAACAGTTTTCAGATTTTCCGGAAATTTTTTAAAGGAAATTTCTGTACCATTTACCTTTGTTTTGAAAGTTCCAGAAATATTACTTCTGTTTACAATAAATGGAAAGCACCCCTGTATATTATTTTGTACATAATTATATATATGCATTAATTAAAGATGTTCAAGTTATACTTTTTAAGATTGCTTTTTTCTTTCACACTTAGGTGGTTGATTATGAAGTTCCCATGATAGTGTTAGCGTCATTTTCTCTGCTTGCTGCACTGGTTATTCCCATTGTTGGCCTTGTGTTCTGTTGCTGCCGTTGTAAAGGAAAGTGTGGTGCTTCTATTGATGATAGCAAACTCAAGCAGCATCCTACTAAAGAACGGATAGCTTACTCTGCAGGAATCCTTGTTTGTGCACTGTTTATTATGTAATTGCTCTTTAGTTTGTTTTTATTGTAAAATATTTTTGTTTAAGCTCGCATTCTGTGGACTGCCCAATTTCCACTCCAATTGGAAGTCTACATTTAAGTAAAGTTCTACAATAACATAATTATGCTTGAGTGAGTCTGTGTTTTGCCACTCAATCAAGTTCTTAATATGCAAGTTCAGTTTGACACGGTGATTAATTATTGATACTGTATGTCTGATATTGGTATAGGTAATCATATGGTTTCGAGTTCAATTTGGAATTAATTTGTACTACTGAGTTTTTCAAAAAGCTGAAATTACACGAGCCGCTTCAGCGAGTGCAATTTCAACTTTTTTAAAAACTCACAAGTGCTAATTAATTCCAAATTAAAAGAGAAAAACCGTATGATTACTTATTAATAATATTAACATGAAGACATTTGCGTGGAGGAAATGCCAGAAGATCTTTTTTGAAGCCATTTTTTCTCATTCAAGAAAACTTTTTTCAAAGTTTCCACACTAAATTTTTACCATCATTTTGCTTGATATCATTGGCTTAGAAAATTTCCTATTTTCTTTTAGCTAATCATAATCTAGGATATCGTTGTGTAATTTGCACTGGTGTTACACGTTTTGCACTGGTGTTACACTTTCTGCCCTGGTGTTACACTTGAACTGCACTGCTCTCAGCCAATCAGAATCGAGTAATTTTTTCTGTGTATATTATTTAATTAATATATTTATCCAACTTTGTTTTAGATTACGAAATAAATATATAAGACATAGAAAAATATTTTTCATAATGATTTTTATTTTAAACTTCAAGTATTATGGCACAAAAATAGATGATTTTCACTCTACAAAATTGCATCATGCTGCAAATTGTAACTTGATGTGGTTTTGCGTGAAGTATGATTTGTTCTTGCTGATGTTAATTGACTGTTAGTGTAACTCTCATTTAGTCTTGCAGGTATATTCATCTTAGCTTCAAGTGTTAGAATGAACAAGAGTGTTCCACATGCAAGAACTGTTTGGTCAGACTCATTTGCTGATATTTATACTTATACTGACAATACACTCAAGGTAATGGGTTATGTGTATGTTTACTGTAGATTAGAAAAATATATCTAGATAATGTTGTCATCCAGACATTTTTGTTATTAATGAGACTTAAGGCATTATATATATATGTACACTTGTATTTTGTTTTTAGTCTTAGAATGTCAAGGATCATTTCTGCACCTCTACCTTAAATTAGGCTTCTCTTTTACCATCTCTTTGCATTGTACAGTGGAATGTTTTCTTTTTAAATCTTGTATTGATATGCTGACATGTAATTTGTGTAAGTACTAAGTAAAAAAATTAAAAATATAATTATTGCAAAAAAAAACCTTTTATTAACGTAATTGATAACCTTGATTAGAAATTTTTTTTATCAATCAAGTAATAGCTTTCAGTATCCTACTTTCGACATATTAAAAATCAACTTGATAGTGAGGCCTAGAGACACAAATGAGAGAAAGGAACAAACATTCAAGACATTCAATTTCCTTTGTTTTGTGTCCTGTAGGCCTGACTCACCACCAAGCAAAATTTTGAAATATTGAAAGCAGTCTATTCAAATGGTTAAAAGCCACTGACAGTTAGAAGTACAGTGTAATAGACTCAAGTGCAATGTTTCTTGCATGTTGTTTAAATTCCAGGAACTAAATCATATTGTATCTAAAGAGGCTGTTCCTACAGTTGATGTTTTGCTGGAGGATGTCATTGGTGAGTGTACAGGCTGACAACACCATTATATAGGCATTAATCAACATATGCTATGGCGCTGTTTTATGTTCCTGGTGTTCTTGGGTAATTCCATGTGAGAATGTGAAAAATCCAGATTTTTAAAAAGTGGTTGGACTTAAAATCATACCCTGTACTATGTTGTTGACAAGTTATAGTACATAGAAAAATAAGTTTCAGTTTGCTTGTGATAGCAACACATTCAGGGGGGG